GTGCAGTATTTTCTATTTTCTGAACACTGCTGGTCGTCGTCGCGACAGTTTGATTGTGCTGCTGTTGCATTTTGATTTTCTGAAATGCTTAATCTCATTTTTTGAAAATTCAATTTTATTTAAATGAATATAAATGAATGTAAAATTTTGAATAAATTATCAAAAAAATAAAAAAATAAAATGAGGAAAAAAAATATCAATGATTTTTTATGAAAAATAATCTTTTTTTCAATTTTTTTTCAAAATTATAAAAGTAAATATTTGAAAATATTTATGTAAATACTTGCAAATACTTTGATTATTAATGAAAATTTCATATAAAAGGAAATAAAAGAGAGTATAAAAGGATTAATAAAAGTGACACACTAATTATTTGAATACGGATCCGGTGTAGCCACAGCTGGCATGTATTTCATTTATCTACCTATCTTATTCTTTATTTCCATCGTAACTGCTGCCAATAACCCAATTAATGTATGTAACAAAGCCGTTCAAGTACCAGCACAAGCACCACCACCTCAAATGCAAACTATACAACGCCCAACTGTCGATCCAAACTTGTGTCTTGATTTGGACCCTCAAGCATGTTCAGAAATATTTAAATTAGATATGCCAGAACAAGCAATTCCAGAGCAACTCAACCCGTAATGAAATTTCATTAAATTGATCAGTTAAACAAGTAGATTCCTTTCGCAGAAATTCGCTGAATAGAATTTTTGAGAAAAAAGATAAAGTCCATATTATATAAGAATACAAAAACGGTCATCGATGATAAAAATTATTGGTTTCAATTTTTTTCTATAGAAATATGTTATTTCAGTGCAGCGGAATATAAAGTGAGGGATAAATGCCAAATGCCAAATTATAAGCGCCTAGCCGAGCAATTATGTCCTCGGGCATGTGCAACGTGCTGCAAAACAAGAAAGTTCAACTGTAGAAATGGTTTTTAATTTAATTTGGGATATAATTCAATTTAATAAAATTAATAAAGCTTTTGATGATATATCAAAATTTTCAGTTGGACAGTGCGATAATTTCACGCAAGAAATGTGCAGAACGCCGCCTCTCAGCAAAATTGCTTTAGAAATGTGCCCACATACATGCGGTCTTTGTGACAAGCCTGGTGCTGGCGGTGAATGTCCAGACACCATTGATGGATGCGAAAGCTTGAGGGAATTTTGTCATGTTGATTCGATTAGAAATATGTGCCAGAGGACGTGTTTTTCAAGAGATTGTCTTCAAAACCTCACAAGTGAGTTCCAATAATTTTCATTGTCCTATTATTTGCCCTTTCATTTAGATTAATAAAGGCAAAAAATCCTGATATTACCAGAAAATTGATATTACTGAAATTAATTGCATTTCTTCTTCATGTATGTCATTGGTGAATTAAGCAAACGATTATACTCGAATTATTCTACTAGAAAAACGTTTTTGCTTTTCAGCAGCAGCTTCGCAATCCAGTGGTTGCACTGATGCACGCGCTAACTGTACGTTATCAAAACCTTTGCAACATCGGTGATTATGGAATTGTAATGAGAAGACAGTGCAGACGAACTTGTCGCCATTGCTAATAAATGTAAAAATTGCGCAATCCATTTTCTGCCTGATAACTATACAATGTATTGAATTATTCAATCTTATTATTATCACTATGAGCCTTTTCTTATTGTTAAGCCGCAATTCTCCTTATTTGTTAAGTATTGGATCATTTCACTCAATATTTCTGGAAACTGACATCGGTTATAAAATGAGCGCATTTTTATGCTTCTCACTTTAACTTAGAATTAATTAAAAATTTAAAAATTGCTGAAATGTGGCAATTATAAATGTTTTCAATTAGGGAGATTTTTTCGTGCATCTTAATTTTATGGCTTTTTGCTAATTTTGTCCGTTTATTCTTAAATTCTTTCCAATATGTTCTTAAATGAAAATAAGGTGCTAAATTCTGAAAATGTTTGCAACAGATTTGAAATTTTTTAATTGTCGACCTGAATACTTTTATTTTTCAAATTTATTTCTATTTCTATGTGACAAATCTGTTTGCAAGTCTATCTGTTTGCAATATTTCTGATAATGCAAAGTGAAAATCATGAATTTTGCATCATCAACCCTTTTATGCATGAAGGTTATAATAATAATATTAAAGAATTTGTTAAAAAATTGAAATTTGCAATATTTAAGGAAATAAAAATAGCAAAAATAGATCAGTGAAAAAAATTATTTAATTTCGCCTACAGGCAAATACCGTTTTAAAAGATCGTACGCTGATTTGTCGAAAATATAGGCAAAAATAGAAAATATATAAATATTTTTAAATATATTTATATATTTTTTACGTAAATTTTAATTTCCAATTTAGTTTAATTAATTTAAAATTTTATGTAAATTCACAAAAATGAAATATTTTAAATTATAAGAGAACAAATGAATTTCTCGATTCAGAAAATGCAAAGTATCAATGGATTTTCAAAAAAAAAAATAAAAAGGAGAAAAATATTATCACAAATCACTAAATTTTTTTCCTTCAATTCTTATTTTTCCAATAGCACTCGCCATTACTGGTTAGGCTGGCTCCGCTGGCTACAAGTGTGAGAAGTCTCCAGGCTGCTTGGTCCGAAGCCATCGCTAGTATTAATAGAAGCCATCCCTTCTTCTATCGTCCAAATGCATATGTCCCTTTATACGTAAAAATTCTTTCCTGAAATCTTAAAAATCACTCAATAAATATATATTCGATGAAATAGAATGAGGATTTTTGCTTATAGGAACAATTAAATGTACTGCAGGTTGAGGAAATTTTGCCGATGGAAGAAATTAGCTGCAGTTCCACTTGTCGCCTGGGCGTTAGGTAACAGGGTGGATATATTTATGATCCGAAAGAAAAATTTTAAAAAATTGAAAGAAAATTTTTTCGTCTCCTCTTTTATTAATTAATATTAATATTGAAATTATATAATTAACTATTTTTTAATTATATAATTCTTGCATTTTTTTAATGTAAATTATGTAAATTATATAGTTTTTATAACTTTTTATAATTATAATCGCTTAAGATACCATTAAATAATTCATCATATATCAATTTGAGAATAAAAAGACTGCGCCGCTTGGAAGCTTATTACCCTTGTAGCCACTGGAGCCAGCCTATCCAGTAATGGTGAGAGCTGCTTGAAGAAGCAGAAGAATTGTTTGAAAATATTTAAAAATATCTTAGAAAATATTTAAAAATGTAGTGAATTTCAATAATGTGTTGTAATTCATTTAATTATTTATTAATCCCCTTTGACTTTTCAAATTTTAAAAAATTTTGTTTGAATTTTCGAAATTTTCAAAATTGGAAATCACCATTTTCAATTTTTGAAAAAAATCCAGGCACCGTAATCTGAACCACTATTAATTTCGCCATCATGACTGTTTTTTTATTGGATGACAATTATTGCTATCGTAATCATTTATCACTAATGCATTTATTTTATATTTTTATTGGATTTACCATAATCACCGCTTATTGTAATAATAGCGCTATTAAATTATTATAATATTACTTTATTAATAAAAATTTATTAAAATAACAATCAATTTTCCTGAAATGCTTACGTCAATGGCACCATATTTAAACAAATATAGAATAATGCACTATCATACATCATAAATTATTTTTAAAAAAACAATAAGATAAGATTTCCCGAACAATTTTTTCATTTTTGCTTTCGGGAACCTTCAAAATAGAATAAATAATATTATATCCCCTAAATTTTTTAAATTTTTAAATTTATTTTTATTAATAGTCTTAAAAATTTTTTATTGCATTGGGAAAAGTAAAAATATTAAAAAAGAAATTTTAAGAAAAACTTCACTAAATGGTGAACTTCTATTCCTTCAGTAATTTTTATTTATTTACATTGTTTAATCACTTATCAATAGTTTAAATATTTAGGCTTTCATTAAAAATATTTTTTGTAAAAACATCATTAAATCGCCTTCCTTACGATTAATGATTTCTTTTTTTTACCAGCAATTTTTAAAAAGAAATTTTCTAAAAAAATTTTTTAGGCTTTTTATTTAAATTTGCCGATTTTTTATTTTTGTACAATCCTTGCAGAACTAAATATTTTACTACTATAAATATATAAGAATAAATTGATGCGAATTACTAATATATGCGAATTACTAATTTTTTACGAAAAAGCAAATCGTCAGCCTTTGTGGGATTTTTGATGAAACCTGGCATAATTCCTTTCCTGTACGCTTTATTCATACATTTGCTTTAGACTTAAAACTTATAAATCTCGATAACTAGCTTGGCAAACAGTATTCCTTAGTCCTACTCCTTTTTGCAATATCTCTTCATGAAGTCGGTACTGCATGTGGGATCCAAACCAAATATAGTTCCACAATCATCGTTTTCATTTTGACCTAATCTACTGTAAAACTGCAAATATGCAAACGAGCAAATCAGTTGCTAAATCAGATATATTTATTTCGAGCGATGATGCACTTGGATTGATTGAGAGGAAGCAAATCGACGACTATCCATGCGTTGGGGAGATATTTTTAATTTTTTATCGTATATTTGCGAAATTTTTAATCGTATTCCATAGCTAAGAAATCTTATAATTCTTCTTTCTATAAAAAAACTCAGTAATATTATTTGAACGATCAATATGAAAGTCGATCGGAGTATTGGGACGTGCAAAGATTGTGAATCGAACTCTTTCTCGGATACTAAATTTTTAGATTTATTTTTTAAGTTATATTTGTTGAATATGAAATGGCTTCAATTTATTAAATTTGAATAAATTTAAAATAAACCAATTTAATTAAATTAAACCAATTTAACCAATTTAATTAAATCAATAAACCAATTTAATTAAATTAATAATTTAATAATTAATTAATTTAATAATTAATAATAATTAATATTAGTAATTAATTATTATTAATAAATTAATAATTAATAATTAATTAAGGTTAAGTAATAAATAATTAAATTTTTTGATATATTGAAATTTTCAGTTGTACAATGCGAAGATTTTACGCAAGAAATGTGCAGAATGCCTACTCTTAGCAAAATTGCATTAGAAACGCCCACATACATATGGAGTTTGTGATAAACCTGGTGAATATCAAAAATACCATTGATAGGTACGAAAGTTTACGAGGATATTGTAAACTTGATTGTACTAGAAATCATGTGTTTTTTAAGGGCTTGTCTTCAAAACCTCATAAGTAGATTGCAATAATGTTTATATTGCCCCATTTTTTTTCTTCTCATTTAAAATGGCAAAAAATAGTGGCATTATCAGTAAATTATTATCACTAAAATTAATGGCATTTCTCCACCACATATGAGCAAATTGGATTAGGTACGAGTAAATTAACAGCACCATTCGAGTTTTTTGGACTTGAACTTTACTCTACCAGAAATAGAACCCAGAATTGGCGCTTCAAAATGAGCAATAAACAACTTATTCTACAACCCAAAGGTGCACACGAAATAATGTGGCATCTAATTATAAGTTTCCTGTTTTCGACTGTAGTATAGTATAGTTATCATTCATAAATCGATATGGTACTGTTCAATAGTTCCTTAGTTTAGAAAGGGTCTGATTGCATTTGCTACCAGCACCATAAAAACCAAAAAA